GGCTTGTAAAATCTTACATTAACTCTGCTCTCTTGCAATCATCAGGTGTCTACAGCTTGTTCACTGTGATAAACAAGGAACCTCATCGAGTTAAACGTAAGATTGTTGGGTCAGCTATCAATGAACGCGTAGTGCGTGTATTTGAGCCTACAATGGAAGAGCAGATCGATATTTTCATCAAGTGTCTTTTTGTCTCGTCTAGGGACTCGGCACCTGTGAACATCACCGAGAGAGTGACCTATCTTGCCTGCGACATAGTAGCTCTCCTTTCTCTTGGTTTCCCCCTGAAGCTTCAAACCAATCCAATCTATCGTTTCATGGTTGCTGGCATGTTCCGCGCCAATCACCTAGCGAACACGCGGATGCAGTGGTTTCGATTGCATCAACTTCGCATCTTCTCTCTCTTGAACTACTTCGCAAATGACATACGAGAGCGTTACAAGCGGTTAATGGAAACAATGATCAAGTCTCGCTTGTCTGAAGAGAAGAACGTGAGGCAAGATCTCTTTTCCATCATCTCGGATGCTAGCAGCAGGGGGGAAAACATTCGAGTGAGTGATATATGGACTGAGACCATATCATTTTTCCCCGCAGGTACTATGAGTCCGCTGGTCATCTTCAAAGTTCTAGTTCAGTACTGACTCGTTCAATTAGGCGCCTTTTCAACTTCGGCTGGCACTTGTGCCTTGTTTTTCTACTTAGCTCATAACAGAGAGTGTTATGACAAACTCACTGACGAAATCCGTAATAGTTTCACGAACGGCACCGACATCTGCAGCGGGTTCCAGCTATCTAGTTGTCACTACCTCAGAGCCTGCATTGATGAAGCACTACGCATCGCCCCGCCTGTTCCGGGGACCCTCTGGAGGGAGCTGGCGTCGGATGAGAAACACAAACCACTTGTTATCGACGGCCATGTGGTGCCCCCAGAAACCCAGGTCGGTGTGAATATCTATTCTCTCCACCACAATGAAGAATACTTCCCAGATTCTTTTACATTCAAGCCCGAGAGATGGTTGCCTTCCGAAGCCACCGAAAGTCAAAGAGAGCTTATGCGTCAAGCGTTTACGCCCTTCTCCATAGGTTACCGGGGATGCGCAGGCAAGGCGATGGCTTATCTGGAGACCAGCCTAATTATTGCGAAGTCCTTATGGTACTTCGATTTCAAGCTTGTTCCAGGACACCTGGGGAGCATCGGTCGTGGTATACCCGGTCGCACGGATGGGCGAAACCGGCGGGATGAATACCAGCTCTACGACGTTATTGCTGGCGGGCATGATGGGCCTTACTTAGCGTTTACACCACGAGGCGATGCTTGCAATGGCATGACTGTCGAGGGACTGACCTTTAGAGACGATTGAAATATAGGTCAAGTGTCCCTGCTGCTGTACCGAAAGTTGATGAGAGTATATTAATATGTAGTGTTGAATGAGAAGCATACTAGAACTGGAAATTGTAAAAAAGACTTGAAGTATACTGCAATATATTGTAATGACCTTGACTTCCCTCTCTGAAACTATCATTTATGTCAACTTACAGCCCAGTCTCAGCGCCTTAGGTTTCTCACTCTGCATAGCAACACCATGTCAATCCGTCGCGTCTCAACTTCTGCAAACTCAAGATAAGAATCGTAACAAAATCCTCCTCCGTATCTTGTGGATGGCTAAAGATAGCAATATGATTGTAGAACCTTAGATATATTAGCGCGATCCAGCCATTTACATGGTTTGCACCAAGTTTTATGCAACCAATCAGCACATCTTCGTCCGTAAGGCGTAGGGGGAAATTTTTGTTAAATATACTGTGATAATTATCCGTTATATTACGTGGTGCGGCGTATAAGTCCTAGGGCGTTGTTGGTGGCAAGGTTGGTATATCTCGGTAACTACCCGGGACTGTTTTCAGGGGTGGAAAGTGGGGCGCAGATCGCAGGACGGGGTTGAGTATATACCTATATAACTCAGCCATTACAGACGGTCACAAGGCTCTAATCAGCCAAGTTTCTCATATCTTACCAGTGTTTATTTCAAAATGGGGCAGACAACTTCCTCTAACCAACCTGAGCCTGATCTTGAAAACCAGCTTGACCCCGTCTTTAAGATTGACACAGCCGGTATGTGCACCTATGCTTTGTGAAATTAGCTAGTTGCTTACGGGACAGAAAAATTCCAAAGCGAATTCAGCTACGAGTTTCGTCACGAATGCTTATTTGAACGGTATGAGCTCAGAGAGGCTTTCGATTTCAGCTCTGACACGGAGTATGACGTGTCCGAAGGGCAATTATCTTGGGACAAGCATGCACTTGCCGACTTTCTCGGCGCTGTCGTTCCTGTTAAATTGAAAGCGGACCTCGACGTTGCGAGTCCTCTTCTCTTAAAAGCTATGATACGTCTCGGATCCTTTCCATTTCATAACAGACAAACCCCTTCGACCCTCGGCGCAGGTGAGTGGCATGGCAATTCTTTGAGCCCGCTTCCCTCGGAAAATTTCTCGTAGACAATTACGTCCTTGAAACACTTTTCCTTCCAGTGTTAGCGAATATGTCTATCACAGGCGGCGATTAATTCACCAAAATGCTATAGATGAGGCCTTCGTTGCTATCCTCCTATTGATACGTTTACATGAGCGTTACTCCATGTTTTCGTTCGACCTTGAAGACCATGACGACGACGACGACAAAGTTCAACAAATCTATGACAGATATTTCCATCGTCTTCTATTCCAGGTCATGTCCAACAAGCCCGGGTTAGATCCACAGCATGAACTACAGGGGCGGGACAAACTTTCGGCCAGAGATCCCGCAGCCGACGAAGATCTCATCCTGACTCGCAATTTTCTCGAAGAAAGAAATTATACACGCGATATGAGAAACCCCAAACAAATAGTTAGGTTACCGCCGGTGATTGAAGTGTCGGAACTCCCTTCATCGAGGTCGCGTGATCTGGCCGGCACGGTTCCCAGAGAGGAGTTCCGGGCACTTCCCAATGTACTCTGTGGGATTGGCAATCACACGTCTGTCGATATTGATCAGCTCATCGAGACACAAGGTACCGATTGGCATGGGTTTTAAAGCAATACTCAACAATGTAAACTTAATAAGGCACAGCCGCATTTTTCTTCTGGGATTCGTCAGTTATTCGATATTTTTGTCCATTTTTCGAAGTGGTTCGACAAGATTGAAAGTCTCAAGAATGAAGGTGTGGGAAGGCCGGACCAGGGAGCGGACATCTAGTAGCCAGATACGTACTAATGAAGTCCACTAGCAAGAAAAAGAAAGATTGCTATATTTCACAAGAGTGTCATTATTATTTACTCTCGCCTATATAAAGGCTAGTATCACACTTTCATATCAGCTCCACGACCCGTGAGAGATTCAAAGCTGATGTGCAATTGCAAATATATTTCAAGTATCCCATCCGAGCAGTTGCTAAAGATATAGATGTACCAAATAAAGATGTTAAGATATCTTACCATGTCCACTAACCACTGTAGAGGTTAAGATGATGTTGTATTGGGAACGCTCCCTGGGCTCTCGCATGGTTTAAGCTCTAGCTCTCCAAACCAAAATCAGAAGTGCCCCTTTCTTATTCTCAACCTTTCCTCTTCCGAGATGCGACGAGGCATAACATCATTAGCCAACCCAAATGGGCACGATAGATCTTCCAAGTCTCATGGAGTGTGAATCTAATCTACAACCGCAATATCACTTGGTCGTATGGCTCCCTTTCGCACGACGGCCTCGTCCCATGCTTTGGTGAACTCCCATTTCTCGAAGTCTTCAGGCGGTAGACCTGCGAGCTACGAATCGAATTCGCCCGCCACTACGATTCTCGTAGAACCCACTACTAATATCCTAGAGTCTAGTTAAATATTCTTCGCGAGTGTGCGTGATGGCAGCCCAGCCGAAGTAGAGTAAACCCGTGATACGCTTCATTCTACTATCGTACAACACATTATTCATGGCTAATTCGTCCCAGCACACATATACTATATGGCAATAAAAATACGATGCAACGTACTCAGGTATTCACGGGCCAACGCTCTCTCTTGTTGACGTCCACAGCATCCAGCAGTTTATACATGCCACCTACCGCAAGTAATTTATCAACCCTTTTTCGCACACCTCGGTCTCGCCATGCTTACAGTAGCGGACTCTTGTCCGATGCACTGAGCTGCTCTTGAAGTTTAGCAAACCAAAACTCAGCGTACGAGACCCATGTGCCTCCCTCCAGGGCTCACAATAGTACCATTGTTGTTTGGTGACAAGCTCGGGGAATTCAGTGCTCTGTACGGCAGTGACAATGCTGGCCAGCTGCTCTACCATAAGCTGTGCGTCGTCTATGGCCAAAGAAAACCGAGCTTCCAGGCCTGACCTAGGACTGATATTTACTAAGGATCCATCCAAAGCTAGTCTCACTTAGCTCCTCTAGACACCTTAGGCGTAGATAGATATATTGTCGCACGATGTGCTGAGCCGCTACATCATTTTGGACTCGGCTGGCGTTGTTAAGTCCCCTAGCGTAAGGAATTCTCATGCGAATAACCAATACATACCCCTTTAGCAGGGGGCGGAGAGGTGCATGGCTGTTGCAGAATTTGTATTATTGAAGACAATCATCCTGTGTAACATGTTAGATGCAGTAAGGTATCTTGGATAACAACTGCCTTCTTTGAAAAATAGAAAATCGCGTGTATTGAGATTAGTGACAATATTCCTCCCTAAAACGCTTAATTTGAATGATATGAGTACAGATTGGCAGAATATTGCATCTGAGAAGAGCCAAGAACAACAAATTATGGCCTTCCTTCCTTTCCCCTTTTATATCCCGCATTAGGTTAGATTTAGGAATTGCGTCCATCGAATGACGTACCTGCCAAACTCACGACGGTAGAATTTGGGTTCGAATTTTAACTGAGAGGATAGATAGAAAGGCTTCTTCACAAGAACAAAAAGGTAGAAACCAGTAAATATGAAATATTAAAAAAATATTAAAAAAGGATGCGGTGAACGTGGATCGAACACGTGACCTTCAGATTAATGTTCCTGAAGTTGAACTTCAGTCTGACGCTCTCCCAGCTGAGCTATCCCCGCTTGGAGTTGAGTCTTCCCTCGTAATTCTCATTGGATAAAATAGTGACTGCTAATTAATACTATATTCCAATTTTGTCAATGCACCTTGAAATTGTGGATCGCTTCCTAAAAGATCTAACGGAAGAAATATCCTCGAAATAAATAAATAATAACAGGCGTCATGTTATTTATGTTTCTACCCTTAAAAACTCCGTTGGTGCAAAGGCCTTACGTAGGGAATGTACATTTAGGGGTGCATGCTTCATCACCCCTATTTCACTAGGTAATACAAGTAACTCGACGTAGGTAGTGAGGACTTTGATATATAACCGAATCCCTCTTACCTGTCGCCTACCATTTATTTCATTTCAAGATATCTCACACCATCCCCTTCCACCTCACAGCACCTCATTACTTCCCATGCCCACCCGCATCGAGCTCGCGCCCCACCCACCCCGAATCAAGCTCCCTCGGCTCCTGGGGGACGCCGAGCTCGTAACTCTGCATTGGCGCATTCCTGTAGTTTTCTTGCGGCGAACCTTGACCCGTGCTGTCAAACGTTCCGTTGGTCGAGTAATACGGGGACTGTATGTAACCCGTGCTAGGCGAGCCCGGCTGATCCTTGTTCCAAAACACCTGCTCCTGTTGTTGAAACATGCCCGCGCCGTTACCCGCGCCGTCGAACGGCGCAGCTGTGCTCTTAACTCGCTTGTATCGCCGGATGAGGAACAGTACGGCGAGGAGAATGGCGACGAGTCCTGCCAGACTGCCGATCACTGCGCCCGCGATCGCGCCGCCGGACAGGTGAGATGACGGTGCGGGAATCTAAGGGTTTTGATCAGCAAACTGGGTTAGTTCAGGGCACGGAGAAATCGCCACTCACGCTAGTGGAGGAGACCGAAGCCGCCGAAGCCGCCGAAGATGTAGTTGGTTCTAGCTGAACTTGAAATCCGTCTATGGGATGCGCAAACGCCTGGTCGGTAGCTTTGGCGATAAATATGCTCGTCGCCGTGATGCTCGTGCTATCGTATTGCGTCACGTTGACAGTCTGGTCGGCCTGAAAGGTGCTGTAACAGGTGCCGCCATACGCAGGCCGGTTCGCATCTACCGTAATGGTAGGAGGGGCAAGTTGAAAGCCACTATCGCTATGATTAGACCTAACTACATGGTGCTCGACTTGCTCGAACATTATATCATCTTCTACAGTTTTCGGCTCTTTCCGTTTGCACCAAGCGTGGATGTACTTTACGATGCATTTGCTCATCTTAACAACGAGAAATTCACTTACGAGGCGCAACAAGCGATATAACCATTTGTCCAGGTCTGCACCGTGTTCCAACCCTCTGGGCAGACCAGTGGAGAGAAGAAAGGGACGACGGAACTCCCGGAGCCTTCGGTCTATTAATCATCAGTGACTTTTCTCAGTGCGCCGCAGTGTCGTTTGTTTCTGTCATCGAAAGCTACCAGCTAATTTTATTGACGTCCCCAATCAATCCACAGACGCTTCGGAGATGAGATAAATGAAACAATTCAATCACATACTGCTAGCACGTTAGCACACATCACAAGCCACAACCAGTATCTGTCGCCTCGTACTGACCACTAGTATATCCATCTATAAACCCAGGCGGGTAGCAGTCCCCAAATCTCGAGCCCGGAACCGGTAGGGGCTCATTCAACCAGATCCGATAACCCGGCGAAGACAGCTGCGTGAGATGCATCTCGCCACAGGATGCGGGCGGTGTAAAAGTCGTCGTTAGAGGCTTCACAGTAACCGTAAGATACGAAATTGACGGCGCTGCAGTGGTCGAGCTCGCCGGCGCTCCCGACGAGCTCATCGCCGTGGAGGTTGAAACTGCCATAACAACAACAATTCCGATAACCGTAGAAGAAGAAAAGTCTTGATGAAGAAAACGACCGTAAAGGAAGCAAAAGACCTCCAGAGAGTATGAGGAGAGGGGAAACCTGCTTGCCAATACAGGTTACCTGCAGAATCCTAACTTAAGCCATTTAAGTCCCCTTATGGAAACAAGGTGTCTCGGATGTGAATAGCCAAGGTAGGTACTTTTGGATAGCGAGCTGAACAAGGTCTGCGCCCCTAGAGTGCATCCGTGGGCATCGCCATTCAATAAAAATGACGGGCAAGACATACATGTAGCGAGCAGCGGTACGGTACTTTGCGGTATTCTCCATCTAGAATCCTTCAACTACGCCGCACGCTAAATAGCCCCGGCGCATCCTCATTGGTCGTCCCTTGCGGCAGCTCTTCCACCCATCGGTCCTTGTTCCCGTTTCAGGTCCCTTGTACGTACTACATAATATGTAGAAAGATTAACCTCGATATTTCCTGACAACGTGCGCGCATAGCATGATAGTGGATAGTGGTTGATATTGGAACCTAGAAACCAACCCAAATGTGGACGACGTGCCTCCTAGCCCCCCTTCCCCCCTGCCAAGTGCAAAGAAAGAAGCATATATACTGATACATACATCTTGCATCATCCAGTATTTCTGTCCAGACTTATTTACAGAACTCTTTGGGTAACACAACGTGGCGGTTCTGTCGGCGGCAGCCTGCACTTGATGAGGACTTATGTTACGAGACGCCAAGTAATTCGTAATTAAAATGTGCTCGCGAGATGTTAATAGCTATGGCGAGTCAGCCCACATTCTTTCCCCATAAGAAGGGTCGGCGATATCCCTGAGGATAAACTGCTTACACGGCGCATGCGGCATCGTACACTTTCAAATACTGGCTCAATCTCCTTACCCGAATAGCTCGAGTTCTAAGCCCTAATATTGGACATTTTCATGGTTAAAATAGGACTTTATATGCTAGGACATCTCAAACGAGGCATCCCCATAGAACAATTTCATCAACAGGGCCGGCAACATACTGGTTGGGTTAACTACCTTTCGGTTTGCTACCTAATCTTAGCATCAACACCATCACCTAATTAAACCTAGAGGTATCGCGGCGAAGCGAATCGAAGCTGTTTTCGCGGAAACGTTGATCTCGTGATGTCATGACCGTGAAGAAATCATGCTAGGCAAAAGCCGCGAGGCTCTCTCGAGAAAGGCCCAGCAGCTTTTTATTTCCCCATCCGCAATAAAATAAATCCTTTCTTTAAATACCATATTTCCCGTCCACGACAAAAAGAAGCTTGGTTCATTTGATCATACCTATACTCTTGACATCATCGCTACATGTTTAGCAATAAAACGAGGAAAAGCGCTAGAGCAAGAAGAAAAAGCCAGTCTGAGAGCAAGGCGAGCAAGCATGTGACGAACGTCAACACAACTCGAGCCTGAGGGTATATCTGCTTCCGACATGTAACCCGTCATGTCATAACTTTCCCCGGTATGCCTTCCCAAATGAGAAAGCAATAAATAAAATGTTGTGTCGCGAGACGGTGAGCCATTGCCTGTGCATGGATGTCTTACCTCCAGTCTGGAGCTGGAGCGGCAGATACAATAAAATGAAATCAAGCAGAAAGAGATATTGAAACTGTAAGGCGTTATACGAGTGCCACGGCGTGCTCCGTGATCTTAGGGCTTAGCGCCCGGCGGCAGGGTGAGTGAGACCTGCTCCTTCATGTGGAAAGGAATGGAGACCCACGCCATCATTCAACTAGACGGGATACATCTAGTATCCCGGACCATCCATAGAAGCATTGAATGAAGGTGGGTCCATGGCCATGAACTCAAGCAGGTCAACGCCGCCGACGTTGACACCCTGGTCTGTCATCGTCACATTCGAGTTCTCCCCCATGTTCTGGAACAAGCCAGGTCCAGGCGGGAGGTACCACATCTGGTCATCGGCGGTCCACTCCGCAGCCGCCTCGAAGATATTCTCACCCATGTTGGACGTCTCCAAGACGTTGCCACCCAGTGCCGGGGTAGCGCCCCCGAACACCGAACCCGACCCAGCTGGGTAAGGGAAGTTGCCCGCGGACAAATCGAAAGGGGTCGCCGACACGTTACCAGAAGGCGTAGAAGACCGCTCTACAAGAACTCGTTAGTCTTTCATTCGAGGCAGGCGTGCAATAATGACGAGAAACCTACCAGGGACAGTGAGCCCTTCTCTGAATTTAGTATGACTCAAGTACCCATTCTCCATGCCATTAGAGTGGGCGTGTCCGTTCGTCACATTAACCTTGCGATCCTCGCCATTTGGACGAGGGCTCTTGCCTTCGCTGGAACTTGTGGCCGGTGCGTATTTGAAGCGGTCTCGGAGTCGCATCGTCAGAGATTCGAGCAGGTCACCGAATCTCGTGCCCAGGTGAATATCATCGACAACACAATTTCGTAGCGCGTCCACGGTACGGTCCAGCAGGCTGATACTCACCTCCACGTCAGCCTTGGGGGCCCCTAGGGCAAATGTTTTCAGCAAGAACATAGCGCCGCTAATGATTCGGAAGTAAGTGCGCACAGGGGCATGCTTGAGGTAGCCGTCCTTCATTAGGCCTTCGACGACGGTCCGCAGAAGATTCCTGCACCCGTCCACTACTTCCTTGACGTACTCCTGGTCTTCGTGGCCAAACCCACCAAGATGACCAAGAGGTAGGTTGCCCAGGTAGTTCTGCGTTTGAGGTGATAGTTGCGCATTGCCAACAGCTACATTGCCACCGTGCGCAGCATTAGTGGTCACTCCGGCATTCGCTGTGCAGCGTTCAACAACCGCCTGTAAGGCTAAAGAATTGACGTAGATTCGCACATATTCGTACTCAATCGTCAATATATGACGGATATTCTCAGGCATCTCGAAGCGTTGGAACTCTCTCCACCAATTCCTAAGGATCGGCTGAAATTCCTTCAGCGCCTTCGTGTAGTTTCCGCTCTGGATGATCTCCGTAGTATGCTTTCGGGAGCGGAATAGTCTTTCGTTTCCCAGCTGCATGGCATCGCTTACTCCTACCCAGCAGTGTATGATCTGATCGTCTAGCTCGACGTTGGGTACGTAGCTAAAGGTATTAGACAAAACCGATTGGTTCGTTCCTGGCGTGTTTCCCTCGTTCGAG